AAAAGGAAAGAAAGAGATAGGTAGAGATAGTGAAGAGAGAAGAGAGCGAGATCGATCGATCGATCGAGAAATTGAAATGTAAAAATAGAGAGACATACACTAAGAGAGAGAAAGTTATGAAAATGGATGGAAAACAAAATGAGAGAGAAAGAACGATGTCGGGGAGACAGAGGAAAGAGTAGTCCCAGAAGGAAAAAACAACATTGAGTGAAAACTGGGTTAAAGGACTAGAAAGATGCGCGTATATGTCATTATTTTCCTAACATTTTTTTTCGGGAAGTTTCCGAGGTGAGAGGCTGTCTATGCTATCAGTTAGTATCTTTTGTATACGCATGGGAGAGTGGTTGTTATCAAAACTGATAAACTTAAGGGCAAAGATAAGACTCAATGCTGTTTACACTCCCGAATGAAATAAAAGCTGATGTTTTACCTTATCTCACTCCATCACTTAAAATGATATACAAATTTCAAGTGCTGCTAAATGATGACGACTTGCGAAATGAGCGCGCCACAAAAAAAATCAGGCGTGTTTGCAAAACAGGGTTGTATTAACGATAAGCAACAAGAGCACTGGAACTATCTCGGATAAAAACTTGTCTGTTTCAAGAAATTGAGTCTAGTCAATTTCGGGGCCGTTACACTGTGAACTGTGATCTACAAACATTTGAAGTGTTTGGAAATTCGACTCTCCTTTGCTAATTTACGGTGGAATTCTTGGCATTTTCGCAAGTAAAGTAGCTAGTCAATTGCAAACAAGTACGACAATATTTATCATAAAGAGTTGACGGTGTTCCATTTTCAGGGAATGCTTTAACTCAGCGTTTATCTCGCCAGCTTGGTGGGGTTAGTGGGTCTAATTGCTGGAGCAGTACCCGTGTCGGGACGGCTCATCTCCGAGTCCCCGTTTCGTTTAAAATCAACTCTGAGAGGAAGAGACTTCCCTCGCACCCTATCACGACCCCCCGGGCGTCTGGGAGCGATCATACTCACGGGGGTCTGTTTAAATGGGGGAAAAAAATGCCTTCTGACGAAGAAGATTGTGTAAAGGAGAAAACCAGGGCATGTTTCCTTTCTCGTGAGTGTCGGAGACGATGACAACAACGACACTCACTAGGCGACATGGACAACGACGACACTCACTTCAGCGACGACGACAACTTGACTCAACAGCATGACATCTCAAGAACATGTCTCTAGTGAGGCAGAATATTGGTGTACATGATGATGGATATGTTATTGCACAAACGTTCCAACCGGTGAAGATCCGGGTTAGAATTGATCTTCAGCAATCCATGCTTGTCGTAAGAGGCGACTAAGGGGATCGGGTGGTCAGGCTCGCTGACTTGGTTGACACTCCTATCCTACAAAAAAAAAAAGTACAAAAAAAAAAAGTAGTTGCGTAGATGGACGCTCAAGCTATTCTTTACCGGATTGTCTGGTCCAGACTCGATTGTTTACAGACCGCCGCTATATGGTTGCAATATTGCTGACAGCGGCGTTAAACCAAATGACCAAAAGCACAAACGTTTTAGGTTGAGTGAGGTATGGTTTTACCCCGCTTTTAGCAATATTCCAGCAATATCACGGCGAGGGACACCAGAAATGGGCTTCACGCATTGTACCCATGCGGGGACTCGAACTCGGGTCGTCGTCGTGACGAGCGAAAGCTTTAACCACTAAGCTACCGCTTCCAGGTGGAAGGAGTGACACTATGCTAGAAAACTACACAGATAAAAACTTTAATAGATGTGTACAAAACCTGGATAACAATACAACGTACCAATATAAGTGAGTGAGTGAGATTAGTTTTACGCCGCACTCAGCAATATTCCAGCTATATGGCGGCGGTCTGTAAATAATCGAGTCTGGACCAGACAATCCAGTGATCAACAGCATGAGCATCGATCAGCGCAATTGGGAACCGATACGTAACAATGTAAATAGTGTGTAATGACATAGGGTTATCAGTGGTTTTCCAGACTTTGTTGACGTTTTATATATGATAGCACAATACTTCTTTGCTACCCGGTTCATTTCTGTAAAAAAAGGCTACTTGTTTCTGCGATGGTAATTATTTCAAAACAATTATCTATGGAGGAAAGGGGGGTTAAATACGGAGTGCCTTACATCTGAATGTAAGTAAATTGTCTCTGGTGTCAAGAACCAGGAGTATCATTATGTTAAAAATATTCGTAAAACATCAATCTGTCAACTACTACTACGACGACGACTACTACTACTACTACGACGACGACTACTACTACTACTACTACTACTACTACTACTACTACTGTAGACTGACGCTTAGTCTCTGAATGTATACTTTTGATCGTAACAATTAAACCCATTTAAATTGAAAAGGAGCCCAAGGCAGACTAGACTAAGGCTTAGTCTCTGAATATATATAATTTTGATAGTAACAAACAAGCCCATTTATATTGAACAGGAGCCCTAGGGAGACCAGAGATTCAGAACCTGGGGAAATCTAGACTTGCTTCATTTAGGGCTTTAGCACTGCATGGAGGGCTAGGCTGTAGTGAAAATAATGTGGTTCAGGGACTGTGAGACAGACTAATACTGCTGCTGCTGCTGCTACTACTACTAATTGCATAGATCGATGCTCATGATGTCAGTCACAGGATTGTCTGATCCAGACTCGATTCATCCTCAAAGCGCTGGAATATTTCCTAGTGCAGCAATACACAACAAACAAACATACTACATCTACTACTGCTGATGATTCTACCACGACCACGACCACGACCACGACCACGACTATTAGTTGTCTGTTTCCTACGACGACTGTTGTTGCTGCTGCGTTTAAATATGGTCAGTTGTCTGTGTGTCCAAGACACTGCGGCATGGTATCTCAGTGGGCTAGAAAATTACAAAGCGAACCAGTCTCAAGTCTCAAGCACGACGAATGGTTTGAGAAAATTACAAAGCGAACCAGCGCAAGTCTGGAATGGTTTGGGAAGCTGTATCTCCCGAAGCATTGTTCTTGGCTCCATGAGGCTCCATTAGGCTCCATTTATTTCTGGGACTAAATGTTAGTCTACGACTACCGCTGCAACAACAACAACCACGCCAATGCATAATAAAACAGAAAGCGTTTTAAGTACAAACAGGTCCCAGTCTGCGCTGGCGGCCGTTACATACCGCCACTGGTAACGTCAATGCATGTTACGGCCAAGTCGCGAGAACAAACTCCTCTTTGCCTTTATCTATCGATAAGGAACAAGATTTATGTTACCTCAAACGGAAGATTAACATGATTTATTACACTCTGAAGCAGCTGCCATCAACATCGCCAGCATACATGTATACACTCATAGTTACGAACAATAGCTGATGCTGAAAAAATATGATACAAACGTCGCTTGTTACTGTCATGTTGATTCATGGGTACACAAAGCTTGCTTCTTTAAATAATATTTACGTGATGCTTGAATTTTAGAAAATCAAATGACGTAATGTTTAGTTTGATCAACATCAGCAAGGCCCGACATGACAACTGGTTTTGATCGTATAGGAGATATTCTACAAGAGACTCGACTGTGTGGTTGACTTGTTTGAGATAGATAGAGATCTATTGAGATGTATCTCCAGTGACACGGAGGCTTGATGTTCGGGGGTGATTCTACACCTCGGCTTTGTGGGCGGGGTGAGCTTCTGTTCCATGGCAAATCGGAACCACATCTAGGGTCTGATAAGACGATGACAAAAAACTGTTTGTGAATGACCAAAACGCTTGTGCCTTCAAACAATGCCAGGGGGATGGCATAAAAAGTGTTTGTAAAATGTATTAGGTCTGTGTCGGGCTGTGATAAGGTGTGGGTAAAAACATTAAAGGTCTTCTCGTATGACCTCCCGGGGAACGGTTCAGTGGGGGTGGTAGTTGAGGGAGTGAGTTGGGATTTAGGGAGATCATGAGGGTGGGCTCTGTAGCAGTTGTAAGTTTTGAATGACATTTGGATGAGATCTGGGCAAGTGGGGAGGAAGTTGGTTGATGGAACGTATGTGTGTTCTGGGGAGAATGATGTGGATATGGAAGGCTTGGATGGAAAGATGTCTTGGAATTGCAGGAAATATGGTTTTGGATGGGGATGAATGATGGTGTGGGAGGGGACGAGATGAATGATGGTGCTGGGGGGATGAATGATGGTGGTGGTGGGTGGAGGAGATGGATGATGAGATGCTGGTGGGGGGATGAATGATGGTGGTGGTGGGTGGAGGAGATGGATGATGGTGCAGGGGAGGGGGGGCAGATGAATGATGGTGGTGGTGGGTGGAGGAGATGGATGATGGTAGGCGTAGGCTGATCGAGGTCAGATGAAGGTTGGTAGGGAGGGGAGGAGATGAATGATGGTGGTGATCGAGGTCAGATGAAGGTTGGCAGGAGGGAGGAGATGAATGATGGTGGGGGACATGGATGATGGTGGGGGAAAAGTCCCTCCTCCTCCCTCCTCCTCCTCCTCTCCTCCCTCCTCCTCCCTCCCTCCTCCCTCCTCCTCCTCCTCCCTCCCTCCTCCCTCCTCCCTCCCTCCCTCCTCCCTCCTCCTCCTCCTCCTCCTCCTCCCTCCTCCTCCTCCTCCCTCCCTCCTCCTCCTCCTCCTCCTCCTCCCTCCCTCCTCCTCCATCCCTCCCATCCATCCCATCCTCTTCCATATGGCTCCGTCGTTTCTCGGCTAATATTCGATCCAATCATCTCAAATGGCAATCGTCTCCGTCAGCAATCGTCAGGTCATCCGTCATCTCAAACATCGCGTCGTCTCGAATTTCGTCGATCGTCGACTCATCGAAATGTCGTCGAAATCGTCGGTATCATCGTCTCCGTCGTTTCATCAATTAAAATCCGGGCAATCGTGTCGAAATCAAGGGCAATCGTCGTCTCAGGTATCAATTTCTATCGGCTGTCGTCAAAGGTCGTCCGGTATCGTCTCCGTCGGCTCGGCTGTCGTCGAAAGTCGTCAAGGTAATGGGGGCATTGAATGATGTTATTAGGGGTGGACATGGAACACCGTGTTGAGGGGAGATGGGCGGATGGTGGGGGGAGGAAATTGAGGATGGTGGGAGGAGGTAGTGGGGCATTGAATGATGGTGTGGGGTGGAAATGGAACACCGTGTTGAGGGGAGATGGGCGATGGTGGGGGAGAGATTGAGAGGATGGTGGGAGGGAGGTAATGGGGGCATTGAATGATGGTGTGGGGTGGACATGGAACACCGTGTTGAGGGGAGATGGGCAATGGTGGGGGAGGAAATTGAGGATGGTGGGGGAGGGAGGTAATGGGTGCATTAAATGATGGTGTGGGGTGGACATGGAACACCGTGTTGAAGAGATGGGGCGATGGTGTGGGAGGAGTAATGGGGGCATTGAATGATGGTGTGGGGTGGAAATGGAACACCGTGTTGAGGGAGATGGGCGATGGTGGGGGAGAAGTGCTTGAGGATGGTGGGGAGGAGGTAATGGGTGCATTAAATGATGGTGTGGGGTGGACATGGAACACCGTGTTGAGGGGAGATGGGCGATGGTGGAGGAGGAGATGAGGATGGGGGAGGAGGTAATGGGGCATTGAATGATGTGTGGGGTGGAAATGGAACACCATTGTTGAGGGAGATGGGCGATGGTGGGGGGTGGGAGGGAGTAATGGGTGCATTAAATGATGGTGTGGGGTGGAAATGGAACACCGTGTTGAGGGGAGATGGGCGATGGTGGGGGAGGAGATGGAGGATGGTGGGGAGGAGGTAATGGGTGCATTAAATGATGGTGTGGGGTGGACATGGAACACCGTGTTGAGGGAGATGGGCGATGGTGGGGAGGAGCTGGGAGGATGGTGGGGAGGAGGGAGGTAATGGGTGCATTAAATGATGGTGTGGGAGGTGGACATGGAACACCGTGTTGAGGGAGATGGGCGATGGTGGGGGAGGAGATGGAGGATGGTGGGGAGGAGATAATGGGGGCATTGAATGATGGTGTGGGGTGGAAATGGAACACCGTGTTGAGGGGAGATGGGCGATGGTGGGGGAGGAGATGGAGGATGGTGGGGAGGAGGTAATGGGTGCATTAAATGATGGTATGGGGTGGACATGGAACACCGTGTTGAGGGGAGATGGGCGATGGTGGGGAGGAGATGGAGGATGGTGGGGAGGAGATAATGGGGGGCAGTGAATGATGGTGTGGGGTGGAAATGGAACACCGTGTTGAGGAGATGGGCGATGTGGGAGGAGATTGGGGATGGTGGGGAGGAGGTAATGGGGCATTGAATGATGGTGTGGGGTGGAAATGGAACACCGTGTTGAGGGAGATGGGCGATGGTGGGGGAGGAGATGGAGGATGGTGGGGGGAGGAGGTAATGGGGGCATTAAATGATGATGTGGGGTGGCAATGGAACACCGTGTTGAGGGGAGATGGGCAATGGTGGGGGAGGAGATGGAGGATGGTGGGGAGGAGGTAATGGGGGCATTGAATGATGGTGTGGGGTGGACATGGAACACCGTGTTGAGGGGAGATGGGCGATGGTGGGGGAGGAGATGGAGGATGGTGGGGAGGAGGTAATGGGGGCATTAAATGATGGTGTGGGGTGGACATTGAACACCGTGTTGAGGGGAAATGGAGGATTGTGGGGAGGAGGAGAAAGATGGCTGGGGATGGAAATGGAGCATGGTGGGGAGAAGATGGAGGTTGATTTGAGTACATAAATGATGGTGTGGAGTGAATGATGGTGGGGTAACAGATTGAGGCTGATGGGGAGGAGGCAATGGGGTTGGGGATTGAATAATGGTTAGGGAAGGAAACGGAGCACGGTGCGGAGGAGATAGACGATGGTGGGGGAGAAGATGGAAGCTGATTTGAGTACATGAATGGTGGTCTTGAGTGGAGATGTAGGCTGATGGGAGGAGGGAAGTGAATGATATTAAGGGGAGGAGATGGAGAGGATGGTGCAAGCGGATAACTGATGGCGTAATGTTTGAAATTAATACTGGTACTGGAGATGAATACCGAGAAGAGGATGTTAAGGTAGACTTGGATGAGTAAATGAGGGAGAGGAACCTCTATGGCAAAGGTCAATCCAACTATGACGTAGAAAGGATGATATACGAAGATCGTGGACATGGATGAAGAATGTTGGGGATGAAGGAGGAGGGGGGTGTAATGAAGGAGGATGAAGTAGAGGGGGGCGTTGGAGATGGGTGACACTTTTGTTTTGATCAAGCTATGACATTTGGTAAACTGGAATGGATATAAACACAGCACCGCGCTGATGTTTTGCAATTGCGAGACACAGAAACCATTCTTATCTCTCGTTCCCCATACGGGATAACGCCCAGTGTTTATCGTTGTAGGCCTAATGCGCTGTCAAAAAACTGATGTAATTCTGGGCGAAAGTGGTCGTTTGTTATCGGCTCGTTTCAAAATAGACGTACACATAGAGATATTTAGCAAACGAATCATGAAAACAGACTCAAATGACAATTTTTGCAGGTCCCGCACAATCGAAT